TTTTCATGACTTCTTCTATTTCTTTGCTACTTCTGTTCCTTTTACTCAAGTCTCTTAAGAGTCTGAGTGTTTCTTGTAGTTCTCTTCTTCTTTTCTTAGAGCTCTGAGATTCGTTTTCTAGTAGCTTTTTGTGTCTTTTGTAGTTTTTATTAATTTTGCGTTTCAGAAAATTTGTGTTTTGATGATCAGTAGAAAGAGTTTTAAAAATCTATATATTTATATTATTAAACTTCACATTTTTGTTAATTTGATTATTAGTTTTATTTAAATTTGGATAATCTCTTATGATGTGTCCTTTCTAATTACACAAATAATATATATACTGTTTAGAATTATATAATTAACTTGTTTTTTTGTTTATATTTTTAATATTTTAGTTACATGTTCTGAATCAATATTTCTATATTATTTCTATTTAATTAGTCATCATGACTAACTTAGTTGATCTTTAATGTACAAGCTCTGTTACAAAACTATCTATATCTATATCTGTTTTTTTTATATGCATTGCTTCCTCAGTTTTTAGTTGATCTCACTATGATTAATATTTTTTCTATTTTATATTTATCTATCTCTATTTATTATAGTATTGTATATTTTATACATAATACCTTTTTTCATAATCTATAAAAATGGATGTGGCGGCTTAGTGTAATTGGTAAGTTTTGGCAAATACTAATACCAACTAGGCTGCGTTTAATATAAAGAAAATGGATTTAATCGGAATATTAGGGTATGTCCACTAGCTTCTTTTAGGCTATCTGAATTGGGAGTTTGGAGTGCAGTTGGTGATTAGAAATGGCAGTGATTGTCTGTAAAGTGTGTACTAAGTCTGAGTGAACTCTACAAGAGCAGAAGTAGGTAACAGTAGCAGCTTCAGCTTACAAGTACTTGTTCTCAAACTTGGCATAAGTTATCGAAATCCAGGTTAGCTGAATTGTGAGTACAGAAGGCTTTAGTAGATTTACCTCAAGGATAAAGAACTCTATTAAGGAGTTTGTCTTAATATCTTAAGTCGAGTATCTGAAAATAAGGATACTAAGTATTCTCACTTAGTTAGAAGTTAATATTTATAGATGCAGAGAGTTTAAATAGGTAACCTCATAGTCAGGTTGTAGGTATGGCATTTAGGGTAGAACTTAGTAATAAGGAACTACTTAAATAGGTAACCAAAAGTTGCAGATGTGGCTAGTTGTACTTCCCAAATATGTATATGGTATAATATATACTATATTGTAAAAGTTAATAATACTAAATAAAAGGAAAGTGACCAAGAGATTACATTAATATTGAAAAAAAAAATAATCTATAAAAATTTATTAATATATATAGAGCATCAAAAGTAGAAACCAAAGAATTTGACAATTTTTTGAAAATTAATCTGTTTGATTGATCAGATGTAAAATTTAAAGCCCAATCTTTTTTGCTTAATAATAAAAGTTTGATTATTTAATAAATTTTTATAATATATTGGTTAAAAGCTTTTGATGTCATAATCTAAAAATAGATTTACCAATGCAAATATTAGTATAATAGTAATTTACAGATCTAATAATCCTATTTAAACAGGTTTGTTAATATTGAATAAATAATTTTTAGATTATTTTAATTTGTGTAACAAAATAGTTTTTGTTGATTTTTTCAAAATCTGTGATCAGCCAAATTCACTGATTTTTACTTTTGATGCCTTATATAATGATTTAAAGGCTAAAATTAATAGAAATGCTAGTGAACATATTGTTCCTTTTATTGATAGACAAGATATTAATAATGCTAAAGAATAAAGCCATTCTCAAGCATCCTCAACAAAACAGCATTGCTATCAAAAATTATTCTACTTTTATAACAAATAAAAGATATTTAATATTCAAAGAATAATTATTCTACTTTTATAACAAATAAAAGACGTTTAATATTTAAAGAATAAAAAATTATTTTTTTTTATATGTCATATATATTTTATTAAAATAACATTCATGCTTTACTATGTTTCGATATCACTTCATTTAATATTAACAAATTTATATAAAGTTCTATAATGACTTGTTGCCAAATATGGCTGCTGTTGTAATGATAAGTTATTTGTAAAATTGTTAAGAGAATGGCTGAAGGCAAATTTCAAACACCAAAGTCTTGGTGCTAAATTTTTTAGTAACTGAGTAATTGCCTTTTTGTAGCCATAATAGAAATCAGAAAAAGAGATAGCTCAAGCACCAATTGCAATTTTTATTTTAATTGTTTATAACGTTTGAGCATCACTTCGATCACTAGCTAATTACATTGAGAGAGGTGCTTGAGAATAGCCTAAATATCTAAACTAGGGTCTCTAAACCAAAAAAAACAAATATTAATTTCACTTTTATCATCAGATTGTAGAAGAGATTAGATTAGTTTAGTATATACTTGACAAGTTTTAAGAGTAGAAGAGCAACTTCTAAGTTTAAAATGTAAAATATTTTTTATTAGAAATATTATATTCATAACACCCATATTATATAGTATAATATCTATATAGTTTTAATTAGAGTTATATTTAAAATAGAAGGTTTATAGAAGTTTTTTATTATATAATATACATTAGAAATAGAGTTCTAATAGGTCATAATTTCAGTTTTTATGAGGTTTTCAAGAGTACTAAATATTTTTGTTAGAGTATCTATATTTATTTACTTAGTATATAATATAAAATATTATATAATACAGTATTATAAATATAGCTTTTCTTTTTATTATATATATTATAAATATTAAAAAAAATAAGTATTAAACTAAACATAAAAAAAATTTAAAACTAACAAATTTAACTTTCTAAAAATATTAATATGGTCAAAATTCTGATTATTTTGATAATATATACTACTTTGATATTTTTATAATATAGTATAGTGGATCTAATCTATAAATTTCAAAAATAAAAATTTAGAAAAATAGTATCTTAGGCTTCTTCTTTCCTCTTCTATAACTAATGATAGCTAAACTTAAATTAGTTTATAAACAGAAAATTAAGAGGTGATTTGCTACACTTAGGTGGTTATACAAAATACAATAGATAGTTAGAATTTATTATCATCTTAATACAAATCTGTAACTTATCTTATCATATATATAACAAATTTATAAAAAAAAAAAGTATCAAAATATTTATATATAATACAAATTTGCAAATTTATAAAAAATTAATTATTAATTATCTTTAAAAATCTTTGACTCTGCTAATAGCTAATAAAAAAAATGCAAAATTGCAAAAATTTTTAATATATAATTTTGCAAATTTAAATATTAAAAATACATACTATATATAGATATAATATAATTTTTTATTATATAATAATAAATTTATTTATTTATTACTACTAATGTATCAATATATATTTTATATAATTAATTTTACAGTAATATAATAATAATCTAATTACTTTTTGCTATATAAAATATATTAAAATTAGACAATTTCTATTTAGACACTAGGTATATTAACACTTAATTACACAAAACAAATAGAAAACCTAATTAAAATATTTGATTAAATGTATATTATAGATCTTTTATTGTATAACAAAAATAAAGCAAAAAATCAAAAATCAGCAATATCTAAAATTTTGTATATGAAACCATCCTTGTGGCTCTAAAAAAAATTTTTTGCAAAATTTTAGTATAAACTATAAATTATTTGTTTATTTTATTAAAAATTAATTTGATTTACATATTATACAGACCCTATGTTTCAAAAACTAGGTGTCAAATTTGTTAAATTCTTTTTTAAAATTATATATTCTCAATAAATAAGTTCAAATTTGCAAAAAAAATTATACCTTTGTAAATTTATATAGAACTACAATAGTATGATTTTTTGGCAAAATTTTAAATATATATTAAGAAGCTATGGTTTTTTAGATACTTTTAGATGATTGCATTGTAATAAATTCTTATAATACATTTTTTATACATAAAACCTTTTATTTTAATTCTATATATTCATATAATTAATCGATAATTTGCCACTTACCTGGTACATGATTATAGTATAATTTGATGCAGATCACTATATAAATTACATATATTTTAAATAGCGTTATTTTATGGTGACCCATCGCCATGGCGACCCCATGATTGACCAATCAAAATCGATCACGTGGTTCATGTAACTTTATTAAAAAAAAAAAAATTTACAAAATTATTACGCGTTGCACAACAAAAAAAAATTACAAAACAATTATGCAACGAACGTCGTTGCATAAACAATAAAAAAAAAAAAAACTCTAATTCGTATCCGCCCACCCACTTTAGATAAAGACAAAAATCTAGTAACCGAAATCCACAGCAAAATTTGACAAGAACTTAACCACCAAAGATGACGACACCAACAATGAAGTTTTAACACCAAAAGCGACAACACCAACTACGAAAGCTCCAACACCGAAATACATGGAAGAGGATGGGTTAGTAAATATAGGAAGGAAAAAAAAACAATGCTGTGACATACTTACGAAAGCTCCAACAACTATGGCACCAGCGACGATGACTCGGATCAGATATGAGAAAAGAGAAATGGTTAGTAAGTATTAAAAAATAAAAAAAAACAAAGGGAAAATAAGAAAACGAAAGAGACAAGAAAACGAAAGGGGAAGAAAAAAACAAGAAAACGAAAGGGAAAAAAAAGACAAGAAAACGAAAGGAGAAGAAAAAGACAAGAACTGAAAGGGGAAGAAAAAGACAAGAAAACGAAAGAAGAAGAAAAAGACAAGAAAACGAAAGGGGAAGAAAAAGACAAGAAAACGAAAGGAGAAGAAAAAGACAAGAAAACGAAAGGGGAAGAAAAAGACAAGAACCGAAAGGAGAAGAAAAAGACAAGAAAACGAAAGGAAAGAAAAAGACAAGAAAACGAAAAGTGAAGAAAAAAACAAGAAAACGAAAGGAGAAGAAAAAGACAAGAAAACGAAAAGGGAAGAAAAAGACAAGAACTGAAAGGGGAAGAAAAAGACAAGAAAATGAAAGAGGAAGAAAAAGACAAGAAAACGAAAGGAGAAGAAAAAGACAAGAAAACGAAAGGGGAAGAAAAAGACAAGAAACGAAAGGGGAAGAAAAAGACAAGAAAACGAAAGGGGAAGAAAAAGACAAGAAAATGAAAGGAGAAGAAAAAGACAAGAACCGAAAGGGGAAGAAAAAGACAAGAAAATGAAAGGAGAAGAAAAAGACAAGAAAATGAAAGGGGAAGAAAAAGACAAGAAAACGAAAGGGGAAGAAAAAGACAAGAAAACGAAAGGGGAAGAAAAAGACAAGAAAACGAAAAGGGAAGAAAAGACAAGAACCGAAAGGGAAAAAAAAGACAAGAAAACAAAAGGGAAGAAAAAGACAAGAAAACGAAAAGGGAAGAAAAAGACAAGAAACACTCAGACTCTTAAGAGACTTGAGTAAAAGGAACAGAAGTAGCAAAGAAATAGAAGAAGTCATGAAAA